GCAAGGCCACCAATTCCTTAAAATAGAACAAACCCAAACAGCTGTAAACCAGCCCCAAACAGCCTTAAACCACCCCAACCAGCTTTAAACCAGCACCACGGGGCCATAAAAACCTTAGAAACATAAGAGGCATGCTTAAAACCACCCATGACGGTGCTAACACAGCCCAAACTGGTGTCGCACCGACCCGAACACCTGTAAATCATTTCTACGGGGCCCGAGGACCTCTTAAAACACATCAGAACAGCCTTAAAACAGCTCCGAACGGGAGGCCGTCCTGGTCCTAGTTAAGGTGGTTATGTGACGATTTAAGCATGATTTGGTCTGTTTTAAGCACCATTTAGGCGGTTTCAAGGTTTTGGCCCCGTATAGCTGGTTTAAGGCCGTGCAGGGCGGTTTTACGGCGAATGGCCAAGGGTTTAGAGCAGTTTGGGTTTGTTATAATGTTTTGGTCCTGCCGATTTACAGCTGCTTGGGCTGGTTAAAACGGTTTTGGGCTGATTTAAAACCATCTTGGCGTGTTTTAAGGCTGATTGGGCGCGATTTAAGGTTGTACGGGGCTGGGCGAAGGATGCGTTCAAGCCGCGGGGTATGGTTTTTAGCTGTTTTAAAGCAGTGCCGGGAGTGCATGCATGCACTGAAAAACAAAGAAACACAACTGAACACATACCAAAACGCCCCTAAACAGACCCGTCACAGCCTCATAACTCAACGGAACAAATAAGCAAAACCGTATTCGCCCCCCCCCCCCCCCCCCCCCCAAGAGCTTAAAAATGACCCAAACCATTTTACACCAGTCCCCACTGGAAATGCGATAAGACTGTGTTGCGGCCCCCCTCACCTTAAACAGACCCTATGGGGGGCACTTTAAGCACGCCCCGTCGTTAAAGTGTTCCCCAGAGGGCATGGTGTTAGCTCCGCCCCTCCTCGAAGTGTTCCCTCCGAAGTCTGTTTCAAGCGCGTGCTCTCCCAGGCCCCCCCCCCCCCCCCCCGCGGGGTCTCACTTCACCACCGCCTCCCCCGCATTATCCTTGCAACGCCCCCCCTTATGGTCTGCTGTGTTTAACCACCCCCTCCCCCGTCCCCTGTGTCTGCCAGACAGCTGACGTGCGCGACGCAAACAGCATCTATGTATTTGTACATGTTCGTATCTCAAGAGCGTGTCGTGCAGATCACCTGCGCGGCACATTTGGGCACCACCACTTGGCAAGCCAAAACGGCAACATGTGGCGCCATCACCTGGCAGGCCCACGACCCACCACCCACCCACCACCCACCACCCACCCAACAACCCACAACCTCTTTTGACCCAACTACCTGGCTTGGCAAATTAAGAGCCGATGGAAGCAAAAACTCGCACCATCCACCCCGCGCCCACCACCCACCACCCATCCATCACTCACCCACTGACCACCCACCGCCCACCACCACCCACTCACCCACCACCCACCCACCACCCACCCACCACCCGCCCACCACCCGCCCACCACCCGCCCCCACCACCCTCCACCACCACCCGCACCCCACCAGCGCCACCCCCACCCACCACCACCCACCCACCAGCCACCCACCACACACCACACCACCCACCCACCCACCCCACCCCATCCACCCACCCACCCACCGACCCACAACCATCACCCACCCACCACACAAACCACCCACACTCATCCACCCATACACCCACCACCCACCACCCACCACCCATCCACCACCCACCACCACCACCCACCGCCCACCCACCCCCACCCACCCACCACCACCCACCCACAACCCACCACCAACCCACCACCAACCCAACCACTGACCCACGCCCACGTCCCCGCCACCACACCACCCACCCACCGCCCACCCACCCCCCCACCCACCCACCCACCACCCACCACCACACCCACCATCCACACCCACCCACCCACCCCACCCACCACCCACCGACCACTCACCACCATCAATTCACCCACCACACCGCCCACCCCCACCACCACACCCACCACCCACCACCCACCCACCACCCCCACCCACCACACCCACCCACCACCCACCCACCACCCACCCCCACCACCCACCATCACCCACCCACCCACCACCCACCCACCACCACCCACCCACCAGTCACTCACCACCTATCGAGCACCCAGCCACCCACCACCCAGTATACCAGGGCGAGGGCCTGTGTTAGATACTTTGGCACGCGTTGCCGCGCTCCCCGCTGCCATTTGGGATCGAGCAAACCTCGCAGAGCGCGACAGCGTAACATGGTCTGTCCTCTACCAGCCTACGGCTTGAGAATTGCAACATGGCTGGTCGTGGTCTGTCAAGTCGCAGCAGTGGCCGCGGCGGGGACCGCGGCCGGGGCGGCCGCGCCAAACGCCCAGTAGCGCCGCCCGGCGCGGTCAGTGAGTCTGGAGGAGGAGGCGCCGAGGCAGACGCAGTGCTCGCTCCACAACAGCCCAAACGCCGTCGCATTCACAACAAGCTCGAGGAGGAGGTGGCCACCAAGATGATGGGCCCCACCATTCTGACCCAAGCACAGGCAAAGCTAACGCCAGGCTCCTCCAGCAACGGCAAAAGCTGTTATTGGGGGAAGTGCTCTTTCACGAAGGAGCGCCCGTTCTGCATGTATGCGTTGGTTGATGGGGCCCAAGGGCCCAAGGGGCCTGGGCTCGCGCTAGTCTCTTCACAAGAAGTGCGCTTTCCCGCTTTGGGATCCTAGCCCCAGGTCGTTTTAAAATTAGCCTGGCGAAGGACCCAACCATATGCAGTTGTGAATGCCGAAATTGTGCTGGGTGGTGGCGGACGCATGCGGGCGGTGCCACTGTGACCTTCGGTGGAGCTCCCTATGGGGCCACGAAACGCTGTACTGGGTGGGTGAGACGCGGTCAGCAAGGGCTGTGCTGCGTGGTGGCGGACGCATGCGAGCGGTGCCACTGGGACCTTCGGTGGAGCTCCCTATGGGGCCACGAAACGCTGCACTGGGTGGGTGAAACGCAGGCAGGGAGCAAGGGCTGCGCAGGGTGGTGGCGGACGCACGCGGGCGGTGCCGCTGGGGCCTTTGGTGGAGCTCCCTATAGGGCTACGAAGCGCTGTTCTGGGTGGGCGAAGCGCAGGGAACAAAGGCTGTGCTGGGTGGTGGCGGACGCAAGCGGGCAGTGCCACTGGGACCTTTGGTGGGGCCCCCTTATGGGGCCACGAAACGAACGAGGGGTGTGCCAGAATAGGGTGTGGAACCGCATGCCAGCGCAGCCACTGGGGCCTTCGGTGGAGCTCCCTATGGAGCCACGAAGCGCGTGAGGGGTGTGCGTAAATGGGGGGGGGGGGGGCATGCGGGCGCAACCACTGGGGCCTTCGGTGGAGCTCCCTATGGGGCCACGAAACGTGTGAGGGGTGTGCCAGAATGGGGTGTGGAACCGCATGCGGCGCAGCCACTGGGGCCTTCGGTGGAGCTCCCTATGGGGCCACGAAACGTGTGAGGGGTGTGCCAGAATGGGGAGTGGAACCGCATGCGGGCGCAGCCACTGCGGGCCTTCGGTGGAGCTCCCTATGGGGCCACGAAACGTGTGGGGTGTGTGCCAGAATAGGGGGTGGAACCGCATGCGGGCGCAGCCACTGGGGCCTTCGGTGGAGCTCCCTATGGGGCCACGAAACGTGTGAGGGGTGTGCCAGAATGGGGGGTGGAACCGCATGCGGGCGCAGCCACTGGGGCCTTCGGTGGGGCTCACTATGGGGCCACGAAACGTGCGAGGGGCGTGCCAGAATGGGCGTGGGAGGGGGAGGGGGGGGAAGGGGAGGAGGAGGAAGGAGGAGGAAGGAGGAACGCGGGGCGACGTCTCTTCAAAACGAGGACCCAACACCACAGGATGGTTGGGAACAATCCTTTTCGTGCGTTGGTGATCGGGCGTGGCGAAGTTGTGTTTTGCCTGCGCCTGCGGAGGACATCCCTGCTATGACTGCGCGGGATCCTGTTTGCGAAGGGGGCGCGCCGCTGTGCAAGGCGCATGCGAACCTATTCTTACGCACTGCCTCCATGATGCCAGTGTCAGAGGCGGCGATCGCGTTCAGGGCCGAACCTGCTGCGGCCGACGAGGCCGGGAGGAACCTGAAGAGCAGTCAGGCCCGGATCCCGTTCGCGCAGCAATCGGCCCATTCCGATGTGCACGCCGCCGTCGAGAACCTCCGAATGATGACTGGGTTGAACAAGCAAGAGTGGGAGAACTTCCACCACGCCACAATGGCGTTGAAAGTGCCGCATCCGTCTCATCCTTCGATCTGGGCATACAAAGAAGACGGGTCTGACGAGATGGAACAGCTTTGGCTTTTTAAATGGGCGCCCGCTTCTGGGCATCGCGGCGCAGGTGCCCGCGGGCTCGATCAACGCATTGACCACGCCGACCTTGCGCCAGGACAACCACCTGTACGACGGCCAGGGCAAGGACACGTTCAACTACTGCGTTGCGCACGAGCTGTCCAACTCAGGAGTGGACTGCGTGAAGATGAACGAATTGACCGCGCTGTCCGAGAGCACGGCTAAGACGCGGAGTGGAGACGTTGGACGGCGCACGCGCTTGGCTACGAAGTGGGCCCTGCAGACGTCGGCGACGGCGACGATGGTTGTCGCTCGATTGGCGCCGTGTCCAACGGCGTCACAGCTGCGCTAAGCCGCCCACAGCAGTCAAGCACGCCGCCTCCTGGCTCGACTGGCCTTATCGGGCCGCCGCCCATGTTCGGAGGGCCAGCCCCTGGAGCGCACGCGGGTGCCGAAGGGGAGCTGCCCGTTGGCGTCGATTCCTGAAGGAGTTCATGATGGATGGGGCCATCGACCTTTTGACCGACAGCATCGGGGCAGACGCGTTCGATTCCACGGGGGGGCAGGGCGGCGAGTCGAACGCCGTGGCCCCCCCTACCAGACAGTCAAGACCCCAAGCGAGCCCAGCGACTCAGGCGCCCCGACGTTGAGTGGAAAGCCGACTGCTGCAAAATACAGCGAGGCGCTCTCCTGCAAGACTGCGATGGCATCGACATCCTTAGGCTCCCTGTATTGGCACGCGTGCCAGTATCTCCAGAAGGTGGGAAACGACTTGAAGGCTGACGCGCAGGTCAAGGAACTTTGCGCCCACTTGGACGTCTTCGAGAAATGCCAGCGCTTCAACTCGAGGCGCAGCAACAAATTCACGATCAACGCCCTCGTCCATACGGCCGATGGATTGAGGACAACCGACCGCGACCTCCAGCCGCAACGTAGGAAAGTCCTGCGGCAGAAGCGCGCGGCGCAATTGAGAACGGATGCCGAGACGAGTGACGCAGTGGAGGCGTTACTGAAGGCATGCGACCCAGCTGATGTCGATCCCGACAACGGCCAGGATGACTCATCGCGTGCACCAACTCCTCCACGTGTCGAGCTTCACCATCTCAAGGGCGAGAACGACGCGGCCATGCTGGAGATGTTTTTTTTTCCCGAAGCTGCCATCGACTTATACCTCAATTTGTAGTCCTCGATGCACCCGCTTGCCACTCGCGCGCATGGCTGGTTGAGTGCGTGCTGCAAGAAGGTGCTCAAGCATGGGGCTGGTCTAACCGCGGCAATGCATGCGTTTATGGCCAAGCTCGGCGCGCTGCTCACGGCTGCAACCTATGCCGAAGACATGTCCATCATGTGCGGCTCGGGTGTCGAAGAGAAATGCAACGTTGCCACAGCTGTGGCTGACACTTCCTCGCCGTGCAGGCTTACCCGTGCCTTCGCGGACGTCGCCAGGCCCTGCAGGGTGGCCTCTGCAGGGATGGTTGAGGCGCGCCACGCGCTCCAGGTCATCGATCAGAATCGCCGGGCCCTTGAGCCCCTGCTGGATGACCTCGATGACACCATTGATGTGGATGGTTTGGGGGCCGACAGCTTCGTCGGCATGACATGCATCCCGGAAGGTTGCTACCAAACGCTGCTAAGTGTCCGCGCAGGTTCGGGGAACACTCAACCATGGCGAACTCCATCGAGACACAGATTGTGTCCAAAATCGAGCTGTACCACACCGTGCTGACTAGCTCGCCAGGCGATGTCAACAAGCTGACGGCGTGCAAAGCCATGCCGAGCCTTGCGCAGAAAGCCGCGTGCCAGTTCCCCCCGAGACCAGCATTGGTGACAACGTGTGCCAAGTTGAAGTATGATATAGAGTTGGCCCATTTCAGCTCCACGATCGACACCTGCATCGCAGGAGCGACGGTTGCGATGGGGCAGGGTACCGAGACGTTCGATACATCACTAGTGGATCGCATCGTGGCCGATGCCGCCAAGTGCAACGGCCTGGGCACCAACGAGGCGGTGGCCAAGCTCATTCCGCATCTCGTGACTTTTCTCTTCCAGTTGCGCGCAGAGAGTAGCTTTGAGGAGGGCATGGCCCACAAAGCCACCGAGTGCGCCAAGAAGCTCGGTGCACTGATCGACGACGCAGCGCGCCCCAGCCACCTCTGGTCAGATTTCCTCAAGCCAATAATCTTCATGGGGGAACAGCTTGACATGACGGGGCCCGCGCTGGAAGCCGCGGCCGCGCCCTCCAAGGGGATGATGCCGAGGGCCCCATGAGTTTCAGATCTTCGTCGACTTGCAGACCGCCACTGGGCATGAGCAGACATACTTCGCCCTGCTGAAGAGCAAAAGTGTTTTCACCGACCAGGTGACTGCTGTCATTCCGCTGACCGAGGAAGGCGCAACGAGTGCAGCAGAGATCCTTCGGGCGGCCACTGCAGTGATTACGGCTACCTTCATCGACCATATCCGTGACCTCACGGCAGAGCTGGAGCCCAATGCAGGTGGCGTCGGCGACAGCACCCACTACGTGGACAAGGCCCCAGCACCTGCCAAGTGAAGCTGGAGGGCGTTCTCCGCCTATGCCGCAGAGGTCTTTAGTCACAAGATTGCTGCGACGCTGCGCAAGCAAGTTGCCGAGATCGAGGAGGCTGATCGCTGGGCATGCCTAATCGTTCCAGCGGCGAGAATGGCCTCTCCAGGTAGATGGGCTGTTTTCGGGGGGCCGTTCTCCGGGGTTCCTGGATGCTTCTCGGCAACGCGGGGGGCGTCGATGGGGAGGGGGGGCCACGCTGTCAGATGAAAGCGCGCTGCAACGATCAGCCCCCGGGCGGCCAAGCAGTCTGGCATGCAGCTGCAAGCCCTGCTAAGCCCGAAGGCGAAGCCCGTCGAGCTGACCGAACATCAGAAGCAGGTCGTGGGCATGGCCCGCCTTGCCTACGCAGCTTGCATGGTTGTCAGCTCGCTCAACAAGATTTCTGATGCAGCGCAGAGGACAGTGGCCAGCTCTAGCGCCTACAACTGGGCGATTATGGACGGGCCCATCAAGATGGATGATTTCCCAGAGCAGCTGAAGAAGAAGATCCAGCCCTTTGTTTCGCGATGTGCGGCGATGCGCGTCAGCGAGTCGCTTGCGGGGCACTGCGAGGCCGTGCGACGCGCTCAATGCTAGAATTCGGCCGCCGCGAAGGTCCTGGCCCCAGTCGCCCCCCTCGCTAATCGCGGGGTTCATTATAGAGAGGCCCCGCGTGTCGAAGCCATGGCGTTTTGGAGATTGGTGGTTTAGTCCGCCAGTTCTTCTCGTTGGTCTCGCATCACCCAGACCTCAGCGACGCCCCCGCGCACAGAGGGAACAGTTGCGCGATGCTACAACGAGGTGTAGCATTGTATCACGTTGCGTCGGCGTCTTGCTCTGCGAATATCTGGGGCCACCTCAACCGACCCTAGTTGACCCTAGTCACCCCTCCTCTCACTGGCCACCCCTTGTCATCCCCTCCTCTCCATCTTCTCCCCCTGCCCTCCCCATCGCCGCCCCTGGTCCCCCGAGCCAACCCTGATCTCCCTGGTCTCGCTCTTGTGTCACTGCCTTCCCCTCGCCATCCCCTAGTCATCCCCCCCCCCTAGCCTCGTGCCCCTCCGTTTGCCCCCCCCCCTCCTCTTGCTCCGAACCCAGCCCCGAGCTGGAAAAAGGGGTCCAACTTTGAGCACGCATGTCGCTGCTGCGTCGCTCGCAGCGGCTCGGAGAGGTCGGCGGGCGGCGGGCCGCGGCAGCGGCTAGAGATCGACGAACTCTGCAATTTCCTGTCATTGGGTCTACTCGGCGGACGAGTGCGAGAGAAGAGGCCGAGGGCGGGGGGCGGGGGGTAAACGCACGCAGCCTCAACAATTATTCATATGTGTCGGGCCTCGAAGAGGCTTGCAATAGACGGCGCGGGGCGCGCATCCGATCTTCGAGGGCTCCGTGGTCGATCGAGCGGCACCCTGGCTTCCACGTTGGCGGCGTCGCCGCTGCTTCTAAAAAGTCAGACGCTTTCGCGCGCCCCCGCCAACCCGTCCAGCAACGATCCCAGGGCGAGTTCTTTTGGCCAGGAGAAGGGCGCGGGCGGGCCTGCGGTCACGCGAAGAGGGGGGCGGCCGCCTTACCACCGGCGCTTGACAGGGTCGCCCTTTTGCCAAGCTGGAGGGCGGGTGGGGAATTGAATGCCAGGAAAGGGGGGTGGGGACGGAGGGTGGCGGGCGGAGAAGTGGCCAAGGCCCCCAGCGTTCTGGAACCACCAGGGTCTCAACCGCCCCCCAAACCCCTCCCTGCCAGCAAGCGCTGCGGCACATCCGCACACGCGCGCAACACTGGCACCGCATGCGCCACGCCCTCAACACTGAGGGCCCAAGTCAACCTGCACATGCGGCGTGCGAGGTGCACGCAATCGTCTCAAGTTGCGGCCGTCACAAACGAGCGGCCGCCGAACATCAACACGCAAATTGTCACTAAGGGGTGCGCTGCACGAGCGGCCAAGGCTTTGGGTAACGCGGCTAACCTGATGTCGTCGCGTGCATGGGCGGGGCGCGAAGCCCCGCATCCTTTTGTAGATTTGCGGTTTAGCGTGCCCCCTGGCCTACAGGGCCTCGCAAACGCGCCCCTTTCCGACCCGGTGGAAACAGTTGGGGAGGAATCGTATTACCATGCCCCCCCGTGTATGGACGTTCAGAGACAGCTTCCCCATCGAACTCGTTTGCGGCACAACGCGCGCGAGTTTCCGAATCGCAGTGCGCACGACCGCCGCAGGCTCGCGCCTGCCGCCTCGGCACAAGGACCATGGGCCGCCGCGGCCGCCTCGCGCGGGCTGCAAGGCTTGAGAAGAGGCGGAGGGAGGAGAAATACAAAGAGGATGGGGAACAGGGGGGCGACGGGCAGGGAGAGGAGGGAGGAGAGCAGGAAGAGCATGGACACGAGCATGTGCAGTGGCTTGAGCAGGAGCAGAAATGAGAGCGGGATGGGGCACATCAGGAACAGCATCAGGAACAAAAGCGTGGGCATGAACACGAGGAGGACAATATGGTCGGACCTAGGCCAGACGAGCATCCCTCAAGACCATGAGGTCATCCGTCGACCAAAACAAACAGAACATCCAAGGGGATTCTCACCACGATGCGCAATAACATCCAACAAACACGAAGAACATTGGGGCAGCCTGCCCGAACCGACCTCGATCTTGTGCCTCGGTCCGACCGTAGTGGCTCTGGCCGGGTAAGCCCCGAGCCCCTCTCCAGCGCAGCGTGTTCTCGCAAGCCCCTCCTGGGAGAGGACCTGAGCCGTCCCAGGGCCCTCTTGGGGACTTTTTGGGTCTTCTTGGGGCCATCTTGGAGGCCTCTGGGGCTATCCAGGAGCGTCGGAAGCCCAAGAAGGCGAGAACGCTAAAATCTGTCCAAAACCATCGGCAGATCTGTTCTGGAGGCCCTCAATGGAGTTCTTTTGAGGCCCTCTTGGACCGCCTTGAAGGCCTGCCACCTTATCTCGCCAGGTTGCCTGCTGACTCCGCGCGCAACGCTTGTCGCCTCCCACAGCGACGATGTGAACTCCGGTCGCGCCGGACGGGCGCGAGGTCGCTGTCCTCGACGCGCACGTAGTGATCGTCAAGAGACAGCTTGGACACTGTGTCCACGAACTCGTCTACGATGGCGGTCTGCAGAATCTCGCCGACTGCCGGCGGAGCGGGGCGGCGGACTAGGAAAGCAGAGCGCGACCGCCGCCGCGGCCAGTCGCGGGTGGATTCCGATACCTGCTCCGCGACAGAGGGCCAGAAGAGCCAAGCAAGATTGCGGACGTGGTCAACCTCACCTTGGTGCTTATTACGTGGATCATATTACATTGCATCACTGGGCGGCCATCACAGGTCAGCAACTGGCAGCGAGGTGGCAATTGATTGTTGTGCTTTGCATGATTGGCAGCATGATCAGGAAGGCCCCTGAATAAGATGCGAGACAGCAGAGCACAGCGATTGGGATGGCTATGGTGTAGAATCGCACTGCGCTGCGTTGCCCTCGAGAGTGTTGTTTGACACGATTTGACTTACGCTGCCTTCACATGCGCTTTCCTATAGCCTTTCCCCCTCCTCCTCCTCCTCCTCCTCCTCCTCCTCCTCCTCCTCCTCCGCATCCCTCTCATCCTTTTCTTCTCCTTCTTGCCCCTTCCTCTCGCTGTCGTTCCCTCTCTGAGCCCAACGTGGGCTTTAGAAGCGCTCTGCTTTGCTGCGCTCTTCTTTTCTTGCGCCTTTCTTCCATGCCCCCCTCCTCGCCAGGGCCGCCTGTCGTCTGGCTCGGTAACAAATCAAACAGGCGCGACCCCCATTAGGGGGTTTTCTTTCTTCCACAACAGTTCAGAATTCGTATGAGCGCAATGCAAAGCAATGCAATGCAAAGCATTGCTTTGCATTGCTTGGCAATTATTGGCTTTGCTTGACATTACTTCCCTTCGCTTGCTGTTGTTTGGCCTTGTATGACATTGCTTCGCGTTTATTGCCATTGCCTGGCGTTGATCGTTATTTCTTGGCGGCATTGTTCGGCATTCCTTGACATGACTTGGCATTGCTTGGCATTGTCGTCGCATTGCTTGGCATTGCTTGGAACCGTTGCTTGGCAATGCTCGGCATAGCTTGATCCGTTGTGCAAACAGGACCGAGAGTGTCACTTGTTCGCATGGGCTGGGCAACCAGATCCGAGCGCGTCACGTGTTCTGCGCTTTGTGTGCGGTGCACTGCTTCGCGTTAAATGGCATCACTTTGCATTGCCTGGCGTTGCGTGACGTTGCTTGGCCTGACTGTGTGTTCCTTTCCATTTCTTGGTGTTAGTTGGCACTGCTTGGCATTGTTTGGCGCTGATAGGCCATGTTGGGCATTGTTTCACACATCTTTCGTGCTCGCGTTGAACTGCAGCCGCATCATTTTCCAAAGAATTCGCTAGACTGCGCACGAGCCGAACAATTTCACGGTGCGCATCTGAGCAGCAATGTCGCATTATGGTGGCCGCGCCAAGGTCCATTACCATGGCTGGGCCAACATCCCTCACAATGACCGCGAAGATCTCCACGAATCACACAGTAGTAAGCAAATCACGTGATATCCCGACAGAACCACACAACTGTAATCTGCGGAGCGAGTGTTCATTCCGCACACGCAAACATGAGCCACTGGACTTTACGCGACACATGGATCGGCAAGACTAGCCGACGAGACACCCAACTCGTGCAAAGCGATATTGCGAACGATCCATTGTCCGTCTGGCTCGCTGCCATGGCAACGAACCCTGGAAGCGTGACTCAGCGAAGCGATGGACACAGCGGCAGACATGCAAGCAGCGGGCGGTCAGCGCCTGTCATCGAAACCACCGCGCCTGGCTCGAAAACCTTGAAGATGGACCCGTCTTTGTCCTCCCGCCCAGACCTCCGCTCTGAGCTCTGCATCGACAACCCTCGGCGCAAGCCACCTGGGCGCAAACCTACACCGACGCGGCGCTGCCCAGCCCGAGAAAGTGGCGCGAGCTGGACCTGTGGGCCCGGGGCAGGCCCAGCCGCTGCCAAGGACGCGGGGCAAGTTCGAGCTTCAGGGACCTTCACTGCCCTATCGCGCCGATGTCCGCGTCGAATCCGCGTCGAATTCACGAATAGACATCGCATCAGTGCCAAATTCACGTCGAATCCGCCTCGAAGAGTCGTCGGGCCCCAGAAAAGAAACGCCATTCACAGGACAGACGAGGTCCCCCGAAGTTGCAACGTAAGACAGGGCGCGGGTCGTGGACGTAGGCGTCCGGAAGAGGGCCGGAGAGGGGGCGCGGACGCGGTGGCTGGAGGCACCGAGGGCGGAGCGCCAGCCAGCACCTTAACTGGAGAGGAAGAAAGCGGGGACCATGACCAAGACTGGACACGCGAAAACGTCGTGCCAATCTTGGTAACCGTCGATCTTGGTCAGCGTCACTTCGCGGGTCATCATCGCGAATCGGCGACGGTCGACATGGACCATGACCAAGCGCGGCATCGACAAAATCCCGTGTCATCTCGATCATGATGCCCGTGTCTCTTCCCTCGAAGAACGCAATGAGAGGGCGCGGGGAAGTCGCCAAGGGACTGCAGGTTGCTGGCCCGGGGAGGCTCAATCAGCACGCGCCCGCGCAGGGTTGATCAGGTAACAGGCGGAGCAACAACCAGCACCAGAAATAAGTGAGAGGGCGCGGGCGAACTCGTCAAAGGCCTGCGGGTTACTGGCCCAGGGAGGCTGAAGCAGCAAGCGCCCGCGCAGGATTCATCAGACAACGGACCTACAGAGCCAACGTTCCCTTGCTAGGTTGGTGGTCGGCACTTCGCCGACATAACGCGCAACGACGTCATGTAGTTACCCTTGTCCACTCTCTCGCCCAAATCTCGCTCCTGATACGGCGCCACCAATGGTCCCGAACCGAATCCAACATTGGCAACGACTGCGTCGGCGAGCTTCAGAGCAAACCGACATGTTCGTGCTTCGGCTGCGTTGCCCTGAGCTCCCGTGCCGAGACATGGGAATACATGGCGTGCAAGAGCCATCTGCGATACTCCCCAGGCCCTACCTGCCTTTCAAGAGAATTCCAAGAAGGTTCGTGGTCCCTCCAAGGTGTGCATCCACGAGGCGACTTCCGCGGCAAGATGGCTTGCTAGGCCGTCAAGAGGGTACTCCCAACGAACTGACAACAAGTGATAATCAAACGCACTACCCTATCCGCTTCTCGTGCTGATTCCAAACGCATCTTCATCTCCTCTCTTTCCCCATTCAGTCGACCAGATTAGGTGGACACGCCTACCCCCACCAACACATATCAAAACCAAAGCGAAAGGCTTGTCACTGGACCCCTGTACACAATACTTCGACCCACGAGGCGGCTACCATGTTCAAAACAGCACAACTGCTGGCCACTAAAGTTCGAGGCGCACAAAGAACGGGCAGGGAGTCGCAATGGCCGTGCTTATGGAGCGGACACGAGGACCCGTACGTGCAATTAATCTGGGATATTTGCACGTGTGCCCTGCTGAAAACGAACCTCACGCCACAGTTGCGCAGCACGGTCCATATCCTCCAAGCCTGCCACCCCGCTCTGTCAACATATGTGACTTCGCCTTCCGAAGGACCGCGATCGATCGTCGCTTGGATACAAAAAGAACCAACCCCCTCCAGGAAACCAAGGGAGGGTAAAAATATCCGCCCCCCTTGCCCAGGAACCATGTGGGGGGAGGGGGAGCCCTATCCCTCCCCAGAAACCGGAGGGGGAGGGTGGGGGGGGGAATTGCAGAACCCCCCGTTCCTTCCTCGGTTCGGACGGGGGGGAAGGATGGGGGGGAATGGGCAGGAGACGGCCACTCCAGAAGTCGAAACGAGGCGGGGATGGGGGGGACAGGCCGTCCCCGACGTCCCCGACGACGACGACGACGACGACGACCACGACGACGACGACGACGACGACGACGACGACGACGACGACGACGACGACGGTCGGGCGGGACATTACATGCAACCTTCGCTCTGTGATGGGGCGTCCAATCGGGCTGGCGGGCGGGACAGAAATGTAAACTGCACTCTGTCATAGGGCCGAGGAATGTGTACAAGCTGGTCGCGCGGGCGGGCCAGCAAACAACGACGCCAACGCCGCCGACAACGACGACGAGGGCTCCATCCAACTCCAATAGAACCCTGCGAGTAAGGCTGGATCTAGCTCTAGTAGAATCCAACGGGGCTGGACCCACCTAATGGAAACGCAGGGTCCAGTCCTGATAGAGCCCCGCTAGGGCTGAATCCACATCTCATGGACTCTACAACCAGAGGCTGGATCCAGCTCTCATCGAATCCTGCCACTAGGGCAGGATCCAGCTGTAAAAGAAAGCTACTGGGGCTCGATCCAGCTTTAACATAATCCCGCAAAAGCTCGATCCAACTCTAAAGCAATCCTACCCGGGCTGGATCAAGTTCTAATGTTGAATCCTGCTACTGGGGCTGGATCTAGCTCTAATTGAATCCCCTACTAAAAGTCCATTCAACTTGAATACAATATCCTACGATAGGCTGGATCCAGCTCTGGTAAGATCCTACTAGGGCTCAGGGCTAGGTCGTCGCCGCCGCCGTCGTCGTCGTCGCCCTTGGCGGCCCCTCCCCCCGTCCGAAACCCCAAGGGAGAGGGGAACCTTCTGACCTCCCCCCCACACACACCCACAGTTCGAACGGGGGGGGTCCGAATACGATGCAGGAGGACAAGGCTCGTTATTTCCTATCCTTGCTGCTAGCCTGCCATGTCGATCGCCCATCCTTGCTCGAGGCGACGAGACCGAGCCCAGAGACCCTGCAGCAACGAAGAAGGCCATCGAGACCGAATCAAGGGAGAGAAGGAGATCGCTCAACCTCCTTCGAGCGAAGGGGCCCCGACTGAGCTTTGTGAGGAGACCGCCAAGTACCAAATCATGATCCAGAAACTGCGACACGAAATCGACTGGCACCAGGCGAACCTCTTCGAGCTCAACGAGGGCGGTGATGCGCACCCGGCGCCTGCTCCGATCGGCACTGCGATCGGCGACACGGCAGCTCTGTTTCCCCGTCTGATTTCGATGCAAGAAGATAAGGCAAAATATTCCCAATCCCTGCTGCGAGCCTGCCATGACTATCGCCCATCCCGGCTCGAGACGAGGGTGGGCGGGTATCTTCCCTCTGACAGAGCCTGCAGGTTGTAGGCACGCCGCGATACTTGGCTCGCGGCTGCAGCGTACGAGGACACAAGGTGTCCTGCCTTCACATTGTCACAGTTATCGAGATAGTCGTTGCAGATGTGTGTATGTATAGAGATACCTCTCAGAGCCTGACAGTATCACCAGCGTGATACCTACTCCGTATAGGGATATGTAAGGTTCAAACGAAAGGGGGATCCGCCCCCCCACAAGTTGGGAATGGGAGGCTGTTTTATCCCCCTCCCCCACGAGTTGGAGGCTTGCTCGTAGTGGCAGAAACCCCTCTTTTCGTCTTCAGCTGGCAGACCTCCCTGGCGTCACAAGCAGCCAAACAATCAGCGTTCGCACGCACTGAACTAGCCAGCGCACGCACGAGAACACTGATCACCGAGCCCGTTCGCCACTTTGCAAAGCGCATCAAAGGCCAATACCTTTTCTGCAACGACTCACGGAACGGACGTTGCACAACGCTCCCGTCACAAGGATCAGTTGTCGATTCTCCCAAACGTGCTTACACGTGCTGCCTCCATGGACATTCCTTCTTGCTTACTTCACACGTCGGCAGGTAACTATCTGCTCGAGTTGCCTGAGCAACTTCATAGCAACTTGGCAAGCAGAACAGCTCTCGCCCCAACCTGCATCGGCCCTCCTTGTCCACAATCCCAACATATGCTGGTGTTCTCAACCATTGCCACTGCCCTCTTCCCTCCAGGTAAACAGTCTTTGTTCTCTTCATAGGGTCGTCAGAAACTTCAGTCGATACCGCCTGCCGCCCAAGAGAGGCACATTCTGTCACCAAATGGCACTGCGCACTCGCAACGTGTACGTGCTCCTCGACTGTTAGCGAAGCGCGCGGAACTGATTATGCTCACCAGCCCTAGGGAACCAGGTGGTTGAACGGTCCAACTCTTCGCAACACCCTTGTGAACACTTCGGGAAAGAAGGTACCCTTTCCCTACACCCTTCCCTGGGTCTGGAGCGGAGGGGGGGATGGGTTAGAGGGTACAGTTGCTCTCATGACGGCTCTAACATTGCCCCAACGACCCTAATGCTGCGTCCGATATGGCTTCGCATAAGCAATGCTGGTCGAAGGACACGCCCACTGTGCCCATAAGAGTTCAAACACATAGCGCTGTTTCTATGACTTGAGCTTCTCGCCTGTTTCACTTCTGATGGAGTTCTGCGGCCGTAAGGTGGCCCCAGCATCGCCCAAGAGAGCCCCAACAATGAGTCCAGACGGGCTCCGAGAGGGCCCCGAATACCGACAAGAGCGCCCGAAGAGCGTCCCGAGAAGGCCCCCCAGAAGCGTGGTGTCTGGTCCCAGGGGAGGTGGACCCTAATAGTGTACCCCTCCTTTATTGATAGATGCCTTTCAAGATGGGCACATAAGGACCCCGAAGACCCGCAAAAGGGCCCCAAGAGGGCCTCCGAGGCTTCCAAAGGGCCCCAAGAAAAATGCAAGATGGCTCCAAGAGGCATCGGCTCTGACGTCGTCGTCGACGTCGTCGTCGTTTTGGGTTTCGCTTCTGGACGGGCTCGTGGGGAAACACGCAGCGTCTTGAATCCCCTGGCTGGTAATACCACCGCATCTATCAAATACTCGCCGTCCGTTCCCTCTCGCAATCATTATTCAATTGTCCGCCTGCTCTGGGAAGTTGTCTCGGTTTGCCATGCGCTCAGAAACTCGCCCACTGGCAACCATGTGCAGTCAAAGGCCTCTCAGCAAGCCTGCGCTATGATTACTGTCAGTCGAAGCCCAAACCATGTCCTGCCATGCAAATTCCATGCCCCACCGAATGCACTGGAGATGTGAAAGGTGCCAATATCCAAAGAATGAGACTCACGACGTTGTACGTCTTCTCCGGCACGGTCAGCCGATGGCGAAAAGCTATCTCCGAATCCTGAGCCGCAAGATGAACTCGACAACTCCCTCTCTCTCTACAAGTGTATGTATACACATATACACATACACACATATAGATGTATATGTATGCCTTCTACATATGAAATTACAAAGGAAAAACCCACGGGTCGCTGGCACCCCCCCCGTACAGGTAACCCCATCAAGCCATTGAGGACCCCCCTGGAGTTATCATTAGCACAGCACAGAAAATAAATAATTCTGGGGGGCGGGTTTCGCCGAACGATATGATTAGCACCGCGCAAATGGAACGAACATAAATAATTCGCGCGCCACGGCTCGGGTGGTATCCTAAGTGGAATTGTGATAAGAATAAGAGTGGCATACGAGTAATAATAATGAGGATAATAATAAGGATGATGGTACGAGTAAGAATAATAATACGAATAACAACAACGATAATAAGAGTAGGACTAACAACCATAAACATTATACTAATAATGAGATCCAGGAAACAGATGATGATACCAATAAGAAAAATGGATAATCATGATACTAACAATCCAAACAAACTATAGTAATATTGCACATGGGAATACGAATACGAATAGTAATCAGGAAAGGTATACACATACAAGTAGTAATAATGGTAATCATAATAAGAGTACACATAAGAATACTAATCAGAATCATAAGCCTAATCCGAATAATAATCACAATAATAAGAATAATACTCATAACTAGAATACGAATGATAATGTTAATCATAATGAGAATACACATGTGAATACTAATAAACAATATTTTCTCATTCTCTTTCTTCGTATTTGTCATATACTATTTGTATTACCACCCCTGTTGAACAATTGTTTTTTCCCGGCCGTCGTGTGGGGTAGTGCGTCCGAGGATATCGCCCCCGCCACGCACGGCGCGTTATCCTAGCACCGCACCCGCACAACATAATTACGACAGCTTGTCCAAAAAGACAAGGAGTACAATAAGACCAATCAGCATACAAATAAGAACAATATTACGAATCATACAAATAATAATGCGAATAGAGTAAGGATACGAATAATAAAAATACGAAAGCAGACGGGTTCGCTTGCTTCTTTCCTACCTCCCTTATTTCTCTCATGTTCTGCATCATCCTTATCCTATACGATTCATATTACCACACTCCTATTGAAGAATTGTTTTTTCCCGGCCGTCGTGTGGGATAGTGCGCATCCGAAAATATCGCCCCCGCCACGCACGGCGCGTGTTATCTTAGCACCCGCACCGCCGGAATTATTCGCCCCATCGTAGGCACGGACAGTTCCATTTCAAAACTGGGCTCTCCTTTTCGTGGGACTTAATGTTGTTACTGTTGGTGTTGGCGGTGTTGTTGGTGTTTTTGATGTTGATGTTGTTGTTGTTGGTGTTGCTGTGACTGGCTTTGGTGTTCTAGATATAATTTTGATTGCTGGTTTTATTGTCGTTGTTCGTGTTGGTGCCGTGCCGTAAGGGAGTCTTGAGGAGGAGGAGCAGGAGGATGATTTGTTCTGTTTAGCTGGGCCAAGGCCTCTTGACTGAGGCCTTGGCCCTCGGTTTGATGCGTAATGGCGAATACGAGCAAAAACGGCTACGGGGGGAGGAGGAGGAGGAAGAGGAGGATCCCTGATGAGGAATAAGAGGAGGAGGACCCCTGAGAAGGACGAAGAGGAAGAGGAAGAGGACCCCTGCTCGGAAGGCCGAGCGCTGGGAAGACGCGCGGCCACTCCAAATCTCGCCCAGACTGACCACCTGACGCAGACTCGTCTGCGTCCAGCGCAGTTTCAGAGGATGTCTCAGGCGAGGCGCTTGTTTCAGAACCACAAAGAAACCATATCGCGATAATGTTTCAGGCGGTTAGCGTCTTTCGGCGAGCAGACTCGTCTGCGTTCACATAGGAGTGCGAGGTGCCAGGGCAACGTTTCTGGGGTGCCGGGTGCGCTATACTTTCGCCGGAAAGGGGGGGGTTTTAATTGCTTGATGCGGTTAGCCCCGCCGCCCCCCAAAAAGCCTCAAAAAACTTCCAAAGGGCACCCATGACTTTCTTGCGGCGGCTCCAGAGGCACCCATGGAAGCGTCGCGACGATCGCAGACTGAATTTACCGTTGCCCAAAAAGTCAATGACCTTCCCGTCACGCCATCGACAGGCCGAATAGGCCCCCAAGAACTCTCCCTAGAGGACCCCGAGAAGCGAAAATCGCTGCTTTTCTATTGTATTGTTCGATGTTTTTCCCTACCTAGGCTCTGCCTAAAAGGGTTCTTAATCATTTTGCTTAAAGGGGCGGGCAGTGGAAATCGCACCGGGCGGTTCCCCCGGTCCCCTGGGGGCCAAGCGAAAGCAACAGCAAAGGTAAAAGCAAACGCGCGGTTCCCCCAGTTGCGCTCCCTGGGTGCCAAGCAAAAGCACAAGTAAAGGCAAAAGCGAAGGCAAAAGCGAAGGCAAAACAAAAGCATAGCATAGCATAGCATAACATAGCATAGCAGAGCAGAGCAGAGCCTAGCCTATCCTAGCGCAGCCCAGCCCAGCCCAGCCCAGCCTAGCATAGCGCATCACAGCATCCACCATTGCTGCTGCAATATATATATATATATATATATATATATATATATATATACATGTATAAATATATGTGTGTGTGCGCACGTATGTTCCATGCATGTTGTCCGTCTGTGGGCCATCTTGAGCCCTTAGTGAGGCAACTTGAGCCCTTAGGAGTCACAAAGGTTTCGCACATAGCACCGGCCGGGAGACACGAAACCCGACGTATTATCGCATGTCCTAAATGTCTTTCCATGCGAATAGATGTGTATATATACATAACACCCATGTGGAATGCTGCATGTGTGTGAGCGCGTGCGTGCGTGCATATATTTGTTCAGCACCGCGTCGTAATGCCTTTCATCCTCGCTGCCGTTCAGCCTGACTTTCGCGACTCGCAGAGCCACGCGAGAGCGCGCAGCAGTGGCGAGGCACGAGACCCAGCATGCGGTGTTGAGCATCATGCAGAAAACAATGCTCCAAGTGTTCAGTGTTGTCCGCCTCCTCAAAGTCGAGTCCAGGATCCTCGGCGCCAGAGGCAGCCGCGCGCGAGCCCCGCTTCTGCATGCTGCCCCGCGCGCGGCGCCTCGGGCGCCAACGCCAGAGGCGTTGTTGAGCCGAAAAAGGTGCGATTGACGACCGCGCTGGCGGCTGCGAAGATGGGGGCGGGCACGTGGGCGAGCACGGAGAAGTCTAAGAGGCGAAGGCAAGGGTAGCGCGAGGCGGGGGCGAAGCTAAGCGCGAAGATGACCTCGGAGCAGAGGGCGACGGTGAGGAAGATGAGGGCGGGAGCGAACCTGAGGATGAAATATCCTCGGGCAGGGGTAGGGAGTCGGTTGCATTGCAGAGAGTGAGGGCGAGGTCGGAAGCAGCGCCAGCATCGAATTGTAGCTCGCACGATGGTTGAGAGGAGCAGTGGCTTCTTCATCATGAGATGGCGCAGAAGATGAATCCCTCTTGCCATCTACGCAAGGACCGCAGGGCGCCAGAGGCAGCCGCACAGTTGCGCCAGAGCCAGCAACCGCCAGCACGACATGCGCATGAGAATGAAACGCTGCGCACTGTCAACGCAAGGACGGTGCAAACACCCTCCTTCGCGGATGTGCTTAGCCATGGCGTCGACGCGATCGCGATTCAGCTCCAACTAGAGCGCGCGCCGCGCGATCGCCATGCACAGAGGTCCCAGGTATGCCGGAAGAGGCCGCGAAGCGAGATGGTCACAGAGATCCATCGCGCAGCGCGGAGAGCGCGACACATAGTTCCGCTTGACACGCCAGAGGCAGCGAGTGCCGAGCGCGGCGCGTCTGCGAGGAACACGCGCTGCGCGCGGCAGCGGACGGGCTCCCAGCTCTGGGAGCCCCACCCCCGCACGAGAGGCATGGTTTTGCGCTGATCACTGCGTGGGCTCCGAGAAAACCGCGCCTGCGCAATAAACGGCAAGAACTCCAGGATGCCACAGAGGCGCCTGTCCCACACGACCTGCCAGTTCAGATCCGGACGCGGCTGCTGCAGAACCCCAACACGCCAGCGCGGGCGCTTAGTAGTAGGACCAGCAGGAGAACCAGCGGGACTGGCGATGCCAGAGAAAGCCTGAGAATCTGCGGCGGCATCAAGCCCCGAGGAGCCAGCGGAAGGAGAACCGCTGCGAGTGGCGGTGCCGGAGGAAGCCTCAGGATCTGCTGCGGCGGCATCAAATCCCGAGGAGCCATCAGAAGGAGAACCAGCGGACGAGGCGGCGCCAGAGGCAGCCTGAGAATCTGCAGCGGCAGGAGGTCCCGAGGAGCCACCCTGCTTCAATCTTCCTCTCACACGTGCTGGAACCACAGCAAAAAGATTACCCAAGTCACCAAATGCAGTAACAGGGGGTGCTGGCCCTGGCATCGCTTCGCCCTGGATCACCTCCGCGTCGTTCTGAGAAAGGCAGAGGAAGCAAATGAGATCATCGAGCTCATGCGCGGCGCCAGAGGCAGCCCACAAATCCTGAGAGATAAGCTTGCAAATCTGCACGGCGTCCTCGTATCCGATATACCCGGCAGCCTCGATCCCCTTCTCAGCGCCAGAGCCCACGCCAGCAAGCAAGAGCCAATCCCTCTCGGAGAAACTCAGTCGGACGCCCTCTGCCCGGAAAAGCCACCGCAAGAACGTTGTGCGCGCATGCGTCGCATGTGACCACAGCCCCACCCCACGCAGATGCACCTCGTTTTCGACGCACGTTGCGCCAGAGGCAGCGGCCGCGCCAGACACAGCAAAGGACGCCGCTACAAGTTCGGTGGCAACCTCCAAACGGCCAGCGCGCAAGTCCTCCATGAGGATTTCGAACTCACACTGCCCTGTCCTCCCCTTGGCCCGAGTCATCACGAGGTGATCGGTGAAAAAGTCAGCGGCCGCGCCGCCCAAAGCACGCACCTTCGATCGCGGCGCGAGCTCCACGGTGGCCTCGCGGCGATTGGCAGCGACCGCAGAAGCCTTGCACGATCGCCATGGCCTCCTGCCACGAGCGCTCGTACAAGGCTGCGCGGCCCTGTGCGCCGGCCGCCAGCAGTTCGCCCTTGTGGCGCAGCACATAATTGAAGATTTACGCGGGTGCCCACTTCCAGCAGCAGATGAACACCGCGCAGAGAACCTCCACGCGCAACGCGCCACGGGCAGCGAAGTGCTCTCGCAGCAAAATGCCCGCCGCAATGCCCATGCGAACATCGCGCCGGCGACGCAGCGAAGCGACGCACCCGCCCTGAACGAAGTCACCGAAGAATTTTGCGACGTTCCCGAGGAGATTCTGCAGCCGCTTCATCTTCAAATGTTGCCCCGTACGTCCTGGGCGGAACTCTCTACAATCACGATTCCTGCACGAGCCATCATGGTCGCGGGAACGTTGCTTGCAGGTCCGGCAAACCTCCCCCATCGGCAACAAAGTCAGCAATGCGCCAGAGGCAGCAGGCGCGCCGGAGGCAGCGCCTCACTTGAGTTTTTCGGTTGTCGCCCCCAGGAGAAGGAGGCGTCTGGCCCATGCGCGCGGGTGGTTGCCTTAAGCCGAGAACTGCCGCAGTCTGATCCTCTCTGCCCTGCTGCTGCTGCGGCTGCTGCTTCTGCTGCGGGTGCTGGTCCTGCTGCTGATGGTGCTGGTGCTGCTTCTCCTCCTCCTGCTCCTCTTCCTCCTGCCCCCCCTTGCCCTCCTCCTTCTGCCTCCGCCCCCTCCTCGTCGATCTGCCCCTGCTCCAATCTTCAAAAAAACGGCCCTGTTGTTGCGCGGAGAAAGCGAAGCCCACCCCTGGAAAACGCGAAAAATACGAGACCCACTTTTGGACGGAGAAAAAAGGGAAAGCCAAATTCGAGGAAGAAAGAGACGGAGAAAGAGAAAGAGAAAGAGAAAGAGAAAGAGAAAGAGAAAGAGAAAGAGAAAGAGAAAGAGAAAGAGAAAGAGAGAGAGAGAGAGAGAGAGAGAGAGAGAGAGAGAGAGAGAGAGAGGGGGGGAGAAAGGAAATAAATAAATATATATATATATATATATAACAACAACAACAACAAAAAACGGGCGAAAGACCCAACCATACGTAGTTGTGAATACCGCAATTGCGGATATATTCCTCGGCGGCGCCCCCGGGCCACGAAACGAATGAGGGGCGTGCCGAAATAGGGGGGCGGAACCGCATGCGAGCGCAGCCACTGGGGCCTTCGGTGGAGCTCCCTATGGGGCCACGAAACGAGTGAGGGGTGTGCCAGAATGGGGGGTGGAACCGCATGCGGGCGCAGCCACTGGGGCCTTCGGTGGAGCTCCCTATGGGGCCACGAAACGTGTGAGGGGTGTGCCAGAATGGGGGGTGGAACCGCATGCGGGCGCAGCCACTGGGGCCTTCGGTGGAGCTCCCTATGGGGCCACGAAACGTGTGAGGGGTGTGCCAGAATGGGGGGTGGAACCGCATGCGGGCGCAGCCACTGGGGCCTTCGGTGGAGCTCCCTATGGGGCCACGAAACGTGTGAGGGGTGTGCCAGAATGGGGGGTGGAACCGCATGCGGGCGCAGCCACTGGGGCCTTCGGTGGAGCTCCCTATGGGGCCACGAAACGTGTGAGGGGTGTGCCAGAATGGGGGTGGAACCGCATGCGGGCGCAGCCGCTGGGGCCTTCGGTGGAGCTCCCTATGGGGCCACGAAGCGTGTGAGGGGTGTGCAAGAATGGAGGGTGGAACCGCATGCGGGCGCAGCCACTGAGGCCTTCGGTGGAGCTCCCTGTGGGGCCACGAAACGTGTGAGGGGTGTGCCAGAATGGGGGGTGGAACCGCATGCGGGCGCAGCCGCTGGGGCCTTCGGTGGAGCTCCCTACGGGGCCACGAAACGAGTGGGGGGTGTGCCAGAATGGGGGGTGGAACCGCATGCGGACGCAGCCGCTGGGGCCTTCGGTGGAGCTCCCTATTGGGCCACGAAGCGTGTGAAGGGTGTGCCAGAATGTGGGGTGGAACCGCATGCGGGCGCAGCCACTGGGGCCTTCGAGTGCGGCGCTGGATCAAGTCACGTTCGCCTTCTTCCGTTATGTTAAGAAGAAGGGAACGTGGCCGTGACCGTGACCGTGACCGTGACCGTGACCGCGACCGCGACCGCGACCGCGACCGCGACCGCGACCGCCCTGCAGCGCAGGCTGGCGTGCGCGGGAAGAAGAAGAAGAAGAAGAAGAAGAAGAAGAAAGGAACGTGACCGTGACCGTGACCGTGACCGTGACCATGACCGTGACCGCGACCGTGACCGTGACCGTGACCGTGACCGTGACCGCGACCGTGACCGTGACCGTGACCGTGACCGTGACCGTGACCGTGACCGTGACCGTGACCGTGACCGTGACCGTGACCGTGACCGTGACCGTGACCGCGACCGCGACCGTGACCGTGACCGTGACCGTGACCGTGACCGTGACCGTGACCGTGGCCGTGACCGTGACCGCGACCGTGACCGTGACCGTGACCATGACGGAGACCGCGACCGTGACCGCGACCGTGACCGGTACCGTGACCTTGACCGTGACCGTGGCCGGGCCCAGGGCCGCTCCGGGGTCGGTGCTGTGCGAACAAGAAGAAGGCGACCGTGACCGCGACCGTGACCGGAACCGAGACCCAAATTGGTCATGTCGTGCGGGCAGACCCTG